TGCTGTGATCCTCGCCACTGCTACCACATGCCTTGTCGCGTGCTGCCTCCTCCTGGCTTAGGCAGCCAATCCCCCTGATGATGTGCCAGGCCCATCCCCCTGATGATGTGCCAGGCCCATCCCCCTGATGATGTGCCAGGCCCATCCCCCTGATGATGTGCCAGGCCCATCCCCCTGATGATGTGCCAGGCCCATCCCCCTGATGATGTGCCAGGCCCATCCCCCTGATGATGTGCCAGGCCCATCCCCCTGATGATGTGCCAGGCCCATCCCCCTGATGATGTGCCAGGCCCATTCTGCTCTTGCCCCTGCGAATGTAAAGGGAAGCATCCTGGGAAATGCAATATACCTATCCGAGGAGGCTTCAGAGCTGAGGATATCATTCTTGCCTAGGCTGGGGGTGGGATGCACAAAAAAAAAGTAAACAAGGGGAAAAAAATATTAGATTACAAAGGGGGAGAAGGGCAAGAGTGGGGTGAAGGTCTGCTTTAACATCGAGAGGCAGAGCAGCATCCTGATCACATGACCACTGTGACCAGTTCTCACGGCAGTCACATGACAGCTTGGCCACACAGCCTCAGACCACCGTGGACTTGAATGTCCTGTGGCTGGGCATTAGGATTTGTTTTTCCTGCTGGTGCTGCAAACATGCATTAAGTGGTCAGAAAGAGGTTAAAGTAGAACTAAAAACAACAGCCATTTTTTAGTTGGACAGAAGGGAGAGAAATGAGTAGACAAGTGAACCAAAATTCGGACATTTTCCCAATTACAACAGTAACGAATTTAAACTAATGGAAAATAAAGAAACAAAATTTAGTCCGAAAATCGAGTCGAACATGAAAACAAACTTAAAATATATTGCTGGCTATTGCTGATTTCCTTCAAAGACTGGGTGTATTAGTGGTACAATATAGCCATCTTTCAAAATTCGAATATTGAAAAGAGTAGAATAGAACAGAATAGAATAGTTTACAAAAGAATAGAGTAGAAAATAAAAGAATGAAATAGAATAGAAAAAAAATAGAATAGATTTGCATAGAATAGAAAAAAAATAGAAGGAATATAGCCATTTTCCAAAATAAGAATTTCGAAAGGAATAGAATATATTAATACAGAATACAACAGCATAGAAAAGAATAGAGTAAAAGACAATAGAATAGAAAATAAAATTCAAAATAAGGGAATAGTATAGATTTGAACAAAATATATTAGGATAGAATATAGCCATCTTCCAAAATTTGAATTTAGAAAAAAAGAATAGACTAGATTTGAATAGAATATAATAGAGCAGAGAATAAACGAATAGAATAAAATAGAAAGAATATAGCCATCTTCCAAAATTTGAATTTAGAAAAAAAGAGAACAGAATAGATTTGAATATAACAGAGCAGAGAATAAAAGAATAGAATAAAATAGAAAGAATATAGCCATCTTCCAAAATTCGAATTTAGAAAAAAAGAGAATAGAATAGATTTGAATATAATAGAGCAGAGAATAAAAGAATAGAATAAAATAGAAAGAATAGCCATCTTCAAAAAATTGATATCGAGAAAAATAAGAATAAAACAGAATAGAAAAGATTAAAGTAACATAGACTAGAATAGAATAAAATTAGAATAGAATAAAAAAAAAAAGCCGTTTTCCAAAATTCGAATAGAATAGAACCAGTGATTCTTGATATTGAATTTGAATTGTTTCTATATTTTCGATTCAAATTCGAATACTTGAATCCTTTGGAAAAAATTTAATCTGGTCAAAAACTAATAAATGAAACAACTTTTGTTATAAATGCAATGAAATGATCTGAAATTAAACAAATGTTTTTGTTCAGCACATGTCTAGAAATTAGGATCCCTGGAGGGATTTTATTTCTGTCTGTGCTCCCATTGGAAAGATTCTCCCTATTTATTTTTTCCTGTTAGCAATAAAAGTGAAAGTAAAAGAAAATACATATAAAAAACAATAAATACTTTTTTCTCTTTTTTTTTTTTTTTTTTTTAGAAGTGATCACATCATCTCTGCTCTGAACTGAAGAAGGGGCTTAGAGAGGTGAGGGTAGAGAAACAGCAGTACACTGGTCTTTCTACTAAATGGCTGTGCAGGGAGGCGTGTCAGGACAAGTCTGACTGATCATTGGAGGAGAGCAGACTGAGTTGAGCTCCCAGCACAGCTAGAGAACTGAGTGTGCCATACTCTTATGCCTAGTGTGGTCAGTTTCTAATAGGAAAGCCAAGGAACTGGCAGGAACACCAGGGATTTCACACAAAGGAAGCAATACAATGAGAACAGGACACTTTTTCATACAAGTACATGGTACAGCAGGCACATGTCAGGAATATGAAATGGTGGCTTTACATATTCTTTAACGCCCTCCTTATTCTCTTGTATTGTACCGTCTCCCTTTATATTGCAATGGACTGTGCAAATCCTCTATAATAAAAATAACATCCTCAATGACGATAGATGTTGCACTTGGATGCCCCCCCCCCCAAACAAAAAAAGTCTACAAAAATATTTCAAAGCCTCTAAATACTAAAAAAAAATTATATATATATAAAAACTTTATCCTTCCTGTTCAGAAAATCGGACTGGTAATACTGTTATTCAGCTGATTATACATTTGTTATATCTGGAGGTCTAAACGGATTTGCCATCAGAAACAATTGATACATGTAAAGAAAAAAAAAAAACAAACAAACATGCAAACTAATAATAATAAAAAAAAATAATAAAATAAATATTTACAAAAAATATTTTTTAAACCAATATTAAAAAAATATTATAATATATATATATATTTTTTAATATTGTTTAAAAAAAAAAAACGGTTTAAAAAAGCCGTTTAGCCCTCCAAATATAACAAATGTATAATCAGCTGCATGATAGTATTACCAGTCCGATTTTCTGAACAGGGAGGACAAAGTTTATATATATATATATATATATATATATATATATATTTTATTAATAATAATAATAATAATAATATTAATGTTTAATAAAAATATATTTTTTTTAATTAATAATAAAAATGTATTTAAAAAATAGTAATAATTATAATTTAATAATATATTTTTATTAATAATAAAATTGTATTTTTAAAAATAGTAATAATAATAATAATAATGTTTAATAAAAATTTATTTTTTAAAAATAATAATAATAAAAATGTATTTAAAAATAGTAATAATTATAAATATTTTAATATTATATTTTTTATTAATAATAAAAATGTATTTTTAAAAATAGTAATAATAATAATAATAATAAATACATATATTTAAAATTATATATTAAAAAAAACAACACTATATATATAAAAACATAAAAAAATCGATGTGTGAAAACAAATGGTAAACCCTTGGGTTGAGCAATGAGTTGATGTGTGCCCGCTCTCTCAGGCTACAACTAGTAGAATGAAAATAATATATATTAAAATAAATACAAATCATTTATCTATCTGTTACAGGCAGTGTGTGAGAATCGCCTATATTACAGCAGAGAGGAGTCTTTCTGCTTATGACAGGCTCCTCTGTGTTCTGTAGTGACAATGTACCCAGGGAGCTGGCACAGCACAGAACCCACCATGCAGCCCCTCCCCCCCTCACCTTTGTCATGCAGCTCCTGCAGTGAGGCGGCGGCCACCCCGTGCCTCTCCCGGCTGCCCCTCACACTCAGCACACAGCGCTTCATCCCCTCTGCCGCTGGACAGGATCTGGTCACGTGTCAGACAAGCCCCCGTCGGGGACTTCCGCATTCCCGGGCCGTAGAGCATGCCGGGGATTGTAGTTCCCGCACCTATCCACCCCTTCACTGCCGGCTGGAAGTGTGCTGAGTACTGTATACAGGGAAGGCGGTGTATATATTGTCTCATGATATGTAGAAGTGACTGTATTATGTCATTATTATATGAGGATACAATGTAGG